GAATGTATGTTCCCTCCTCCTGATAAGAAAACCCAAATGTATTTTGCCAAGATGAAAAAAAAATTAAAAATTGTAAATAAAGTAAGAAGTAAGTCAGAAATCACATAACAGGAGGTACCTGGTCTGACAGAGCCTGTTCTTGAGCTACAATGATGTGTTCCTGTCCCAAAGCCTGTAACCTTTCTGGAGTGATGGTCTGATGTGTCTGCAGGGCTACACACACACACACACACATTACAATAACAATCATCAGCAGAAACCCAGCTGTTGTTATGTCATGTCCCTTACACTGCAGTGTGGCCAGAGCCTCCTCATCACTGTTGACTATGATGGTCTGTGCAGCAGTTGCAGTTCGCTTGCGGGTTGGATTTTCCTGATTGTGGAGACGCTCCATGTGAAACTTTAGGTGACCGTTGCGATTAAACCTGATTTATCAAGGGGAAGAAAAACTCAATCAGGTTGTCAGCTGTTCATTTGAATTAATTGTTTTTCTCTTTCCATTTTCCTGTGACAAAACAAACTTTTGCTCATCACACCTTTGTCCACAAAGTTTACAAGAAAAGGGTTTCTCGTTGGTGTGGGTCATCATGTGACGACGCAGATCCTTCTTGTTCTTGGAGGCAAAGCTGCAACTTGGACACTTGTGTGGGCGCAGGTAAGCATGCATCTTCATGTGAGTCTAAAAGACAACAACATAACACTCATTGGTAAAGGACATCACAATGGAATGACAAACATACCCTGATACGTTAAATGTGTTTTCGTGGCTAAAATAACAGAAAATCTCAAGGTCCAGAATAGTAAATAAATCGTCAAATGTTACAAGAGGTTTCTTGAGAGTTTTTGCTTGTTCATACCGAAAAAAGAGTACTTTGTATACTTCCTCTTTCTACTCTGTTACACGTTGTCAGGGTAATACAACAATACAGCATATTGTCACATAGTTTCATATTTTCGTAGTAAAGAGCGCAAACCCAGTTAAAGCCTGTGTCCAATGTGGAACGCTGACCTCTGAGAACTAAATATGTGCTGTGTTAGGTTGCAAACAACATTTTCCTACAACTCAATCATTGAAGAAATATTTGGAGGTTTGGGTGTTACATAACCATTTTTTTGTTTTTTATAATAATCTGGATAATTCATAAAAAATGTAAGTCCTTATTCAGCCAACAATGGGAAAATTCACAGTGTGAATTCTTTGCGACCCACACAGGCTGCCACAATAGCTGGATCATAATGACAGTGAATTATAAAATAATCAACAACAAAACTAAACTAAACACAGTATCATGGAGTACTAGGAAACCTACTTGCACTTCTGGCCAAGAGGTGGAGGTGTAGTCACAGTCTGGACACTTGAAGGTATTGGGATCTATGTGCGCCCTCTTGTGGTTCTCCATGTCAGAGCGTCCTTGGAAAGACTCCATGCAGATTCGACAGGAAAACCTCTTTGTGCTGAGACTGGGAGAGTTCACTGCAGAGGGAGACGCTGGAGCTTCACTGCTCAGCTGACAGGGAATAAGTCATTCACCTGGTTACAAATGCAGTGGCACAAGAATGAGGTTAATTCTAGTTTAAGTTGCAAGACAAAAATACCTCCACTTGTTGCAAAACCCCATCAGGCAGTGCTGAAGTGAGGAAGTACTTTTCACTTTTGATGCTCTCTGATCCAGAGACTTCTAAAGTCTGGGAGGGACTGCTCTCCTCAGTACTGTAAAACAGAAAATTGAAACATCATGATCAAAACATCGACTTATTATTAACTGATATGTTTGAAAGTCTTTTCTAATGTGTATGTGGCCTTACCTGTATGCAGTTTCATGGACTTCTTCAGCAGCCTGCTCCACCACACTGAAGTCCCCACTGCCTTCGTAGGCTTCAATGGCGATCTGAGTGAGCTCTCCATTTTCAGAGGTCGCAGTCTCGTAGGCCTCCTGCAGAACTGTCTCGCCGCTCTCCGACACATGGAACGTCATTATCTTTTGGCCTTGGCCCGGTGTTGTCACCGCACTCCACGTGGTGTTTTCCAAAGCTTTGCCCTCCGACTTCAGCACTGCCACCTGGAGAGCACATTGTTACATCTGAGTCCACTTTACACAAAACAAGAGCATGAGATTTTTAAAGACAACAGACAACAAACCAACAAACCTGTAAGGAGCTGCCAACCAAGTCACGTGCATTGCTCATGTTCAGCAGTAAATCCAGTGCATTCTGGGCCGACAGTTCACTGGATTCAGCTGTGGTGTAAATGATGCCAACGTCAGTGAAATCAGAAAAAATTACAACTCTAAAAATGTGTTTTTCACAACACACATTTTTCAATTTTCTTTTTCTAGATCCATTACATATGCTGGGCCAAAATCGGGCTTATTTTAAAAACAAACTATCTTTTATTTGTTTGAAGACACAATAATTATTTAAATAAATATTTCATATGTTTGACAGCAGGGACAGGCGCTGACATTAGTATTGATATCCTGCCTGTTAATTCACTTAAATTCATGTACTTTCACTCAAAATATGGGCAGTTCAACAACCTGATACTCCGTAGCAAATGTTTAACACAACCAGCTTCACAGTCGTCAGTGTTGTGTGTTTTCTTCATGGTTGGTTTATTCAAGTAGGTCAACAGTGTAATGTGACGACAGTGTTGGTTTGAAGACTTTTAATTTAATATGGAAAGATTGGTTTGGTCTTGGATTGAAATAGCCTTCTGTTAATGAGAAGAAAATTAAACTGACAGCATTGTTTTCCTCACTGTGGTTTAAGCTCACACCTACCTACACACACATTGCACGTCACCATTTTACCCACAGGGATGCGTCACACATATGAGTACTCTGAGTATTGGCAAGTACACAAATAAAATGCAAATGTATACTTGTAAGTTTTTAGGACAACAACAGTTAAATGACATATAAACAATTTCTTCAAGGATTTTAAATACACTGACATTGTTCATAGATGATGGTTGTGTTTCCTAGTGCATCCTGGGACACGGAGGCGTTTTCCACTCCCTGCATGGCTTGTAGTGTTGCAGAATCTACTGCAACCTGACGAACACCAGAAGACGGGCGTTGTTGTTGTTAGCGTCACCCGGGCACATTGTTAATGAAATGATTTTAGATTAAGAAAAAACACCAGAGAGACTTACGATAGTGTTCTGTAAGTCCTGTTGTTTCAGCTCCTCTATCTGCTGCAGGTTGAAGAAAGGTCGGCGTAGTCTCCTGGCAGGTTCTTCAGGGTGAGCCTGTGACCACTCCTCAAACGCCTCAGGATGGCGACACTGGACATGGAGACGGAGGTTCTTTCGGTGCTTGGTCATGAAGTGACACATATCACAGGAGAACGGCTTCTCGCCTGTTCACATGTTATAATAAAATATTTATCACCCAGTGCTCCATTTCTCTGGTAATATATAACAACAACAAGACAAAACTGAATAAAATAACTCTACTTTACTGACCTGTGTGTTTGATGGCAAGATGTGAGACCAGGAACTCCTCTTTAGAGGTGGAGTATTTGCAGTAGTCACACTTGAAGGGCCTGTCGTTGGTGTGGGACAGTTGATGGTTGAGCAGTAGCTTCTTGTTGTCACAAGTGTAGTCACAAAACTCACACTTGAACCTGAATAACGTAGAATCAAACAGCAAAAATGACTGACTGTACACAAATCATTATTGTACATCAGTGTAAATGTTTTTTTTAGCACTGACTTGCTGTCTCCGAGACTCTGAATATGCGTCAGCAGATGAACTTTAAATGTGTAGCGCTTTTTGAAGGATTTTCCACACTGAAAAGAAAAAAGGATTATGAGAGATTTAATCGGTTCAAGTACAAATTTCAAAACTATGAATTCCATTTAATTTTAATTAACTGTAATTCTTTCAATGCCAAAAAAAATCATAAAATAAAATGACTTTTTATAGTTAATTACAACATCTCCAAGACAATATTTCCACAAATAATAAAAGTCTATAATAAAACTAGTTTTTATTCTAAATTATCACAATATTATAAAGAAGTATATATATAAATTACATCCAGATGTCACAACAACATTTTATACTCACTTTACCATTTTGGAATATTTTAGCAGCCAATAATTCAATCAGATACTTTTAAAATACATTCAGTATACACACATTAAAGAACTTAATGCATATCATTTTCATGTAAGTATTTATACATAACTGTTACTATTGTGTAGAAATACATGAAGTAACAAGTAAGACAAAAACAAGAATTTGTGGAACACTATGCGGCTTTCTGACCTTATCACACATGTGTGGTTTCTCTGAACTGTGGGTCTTCATGTGCTGCGTCAGCCTCTTCTGCATGGGGTAAACTCGGGTACACACAGGACAGGGGAACTCTAACACCTTTGGCGTCTGTATAAAGAAGATGTCGTTACCACGTTGTTATCACATGTCAGCACAAGAGTATTTAAATAAGTGAAAATATAAATCATTTTATTTACCGTCTCTGTTTTTTTCTTCCTGTAGAAAAGATAAGAAAATCAAACACAAACATGAAATGTGTGTGGAATCGTTGTACTACATACGTCTGTGTATTGTGTAATTGACTGACTTCTCTTTGTTGTGGACTGCAGAGTGACGGATGACATCTTTTCTGTACACACTTGAGTAATCGCACTCCTCACACTTGAAGGGCTTGGTTCCCTCATGATTGAACATATGTTCCTGTTAAAGCAGTTGCCACCACTTAGACTGAAATCATACATGTGAGCTGAGGTTGAGCTTAAACTGTGGTGTGATTGACCTACGACAAACCTTGAGCGAGGACCAGCGCTTACAGCGATAACTGCACTGTCGGCACTTAAAGAGCTCCGGGTCGTCGCCCTCGTGAGAGTTGACGTGGAAGCGCAGGTCTTCTTGAGTGAGGAATCGAGAGCCACAGATCCAGCAATTGTGAGGCCGCTGTAAGGGTCTCAGAGATTTGTAGTACCGACTGAAAGACAACAAAGAAAAAGTACTAATGAGGTTTTTAAAAAGACATAGGACAATGTTTTTCGGAACCTGATACGTACTTCCGATTTATATACTTCTTGTACTTCTTGCGCAGGAAGCATTTGGAGGGTCGTCCACGTTTGCGGTGAACTAAGTCCTCCTCTGGCTGTGAGAGAGATGATGGGTCTTTGTTCTCAGAGTCTGATTGGCTAATGGTGGTCTCAGCAGTGTCTCCATCTGTCACCACAGAAGGCCCGTTGCCTAACCCTGAGGAGCTTGCCTCTTCAGGTACACCTGCATCAGCACTAATTCTGGGATTTTTATCGAGACTTTCTGCTTCTGTAAGAAGAAACATAGTGTAAAGTGTTCAATACGTCTGTGCTGACTTTGGCCCGTGTTTTTTTACTTACCTTTGCTGTTATTATGTCCTTCCTCTGAAGAACTGTACTTCCTTGGACGTCCAACCTTGCGTCGAGGACGTCCGTGTGAAGAGGATGATATAGGAGTGGGCTTGTTCAGAACAGCAGGTGATCTTCTTTTCAAGTCTTCATCTACTGGGTTGTAGTCACTATCCCCTGAATAAAACAGGAGTACAGATACTAAAATTAATGAATATGGTTCTAATCCAATGAGTGACTAACTCAAAAAAGCTGAAAAATGACAACCTTCCTGATCATCAATAGCCCCAGCATCAACAACATCATCATCCTCTTCCTCTGCCTGCCGCGGCTCTGCGGAGTTCGTTTTTGCTGCCTCGGCTTTCTCCTTCTCTGCCTGACGACGGGCTAAAGTCTCACTCTTAGGAGGACGTCCACGTTTGCGTTTCTTTGGTAGATCCCCTGCACGCTCAATAATTAATATATTTACATAAGTTGGAAGACCTAAAAGAACAGCACAATATATACTTAATCAACAATGAGCTGTCTCACCTGCTGGTTTAAAGTGTTTGTCTCTCATGTGGTTTATGAGCGTGTCTTTGGAAGCACTCTTGTATGGACACATCTTACACTTGAACTGCTGCACAATCACTACTTCCATCATCTCTTCTAGCTCTGCCAGGTTTGGTGCTCTGACTCCAGTTCCTTCTGCCACGGTTGATGTCTCCATTTCCCTGACCAGCCCACCTTCAACCAGAGGCTGCTGTGACCCCTGAGCCTCAGCTTGTCTGGGTGAGCACTGCTGCTCTGTGTCTTGACTGCACATGTATGTCCCACTGCTGCTGATGAAAGGCCCGGGCTGACTCTCGCTGCTCTCCAGTCCTTCAGGAAGTTCACCTAAACCTGCTGTGTCTGCCAGAGGGTGGTCTGATGAGGAGCTGTCATCAACGTATATAGAGGTCTCTGGACCGTTGCTACTCTCCATGTAACAGGAATGTTGAGGCTGCTGTTGGGAGTGCTGCGGCTGATCTGGATCCTGGTTCTGCTCATCATCATCCTCATCATCATCATCATCGATCCTCACCTCAGACCGAGAACAACCAGGTTGCTCAAAGTCAGCAGATGCAACACACTCTCCAACATACTCCGCCTCATACAGACGATTTATTGGAGAACGATGGTCTGCACTACTGTCAATGTAACTGCGGGAATGATGTGGCTGCTCTCCATCATCTACTACACATTCAAGGTATCCAGCACTGCACTCTACCACATAGTGACCTTGACTGGTAGGATTTGAGTCTGCTCTACTGCATTCCACATATCCAGGCAGGTCCTGGTCACTGTTGTCCCTACTGTAGTCAGGAAAGCTTGACTGAGACCTTGTCTGATCTGGTTCTTCTCCAGAACACTCAACATAGGATGAGGAGGACTCTTCTGTTTGGTCTGGACCATCTGTGCTACAGTCCATATACTGGGAGGGGTGAGAGTGCTGGGGCTGGTCGGGCTGGCTGTCCTCTGGGTAACCTGAGTGCCCAGGCTGATCGTCAGGTTGGTCAGGTTCAAGGTTCCTCTGAAGGTCCCCCTGTTCCAGACAGGTGGAAGTGGGACCTTCAGCAAGAGCTTCTATGGCTATACGATTGGACAGACCTGAAGACGACATGTGAGCTACCATAGGAGCTCCTGCAATGGGCAAATAACAAAAGAAGAATTTAGAAAAAAAGTTTTTTCTGAACTTACTTGTTGAATTATTAAAGCTGTAACTAAAATGATGCAAGTGTTCTTCATGTTGCTCAATTTAGCTTAAAATAGTATTTCCTGGATTTAGCAAGACTTGTTTAACCAGGAGAAAGATAGACATAATTACCATCATCTGGTCCTTGCAATATAAGATACTGGGTTGTTTCTGCACCACCATCTTCTGCACTTGTTACAGGTATGCATCCTTCAGAAAAGCAAAACATTAATAAAATTGTACAAAACAATACACTTGTAATTGACAAGGTGACATGGCAGAACAAATAACAATACAGATACCATTCATAATATCAGGGCCGATTGTAGACTCTATGATTTTGTCAATGGCAGACCCCAGGTCTGATGAGGTAGACGCAGTTGAGTCAGAAACCATCATGGCCCCTTCAGATACTGCACTGGAGTGGACCAGTACTTGGGCTGACTCAGACACTAGCAGAGACTGAGTCACTGTGGAGACACTGGACACACTGGTGGACTGAGCCACTGAAGAGGAGTCAGGGAGATGGACTGATGAAATTCTGATGTCTGTACTGGAGCTTGTTTCTGGAATAAACACCTTCAATCATGGGGCAAAAAAGTGAGTTGTAAAATTATTGCAAGTACATTTAATTACATGTTTTTAAAAAAAGAAATCTTACCACGAGTCCCTCTGAGCTCTGCCCCACATGGCAGTCTGACTCTGGGGCCAGGGGATGAGAAGCGGCAGCATCACTGCTGTCTGCAGACATTGCCTCTGATGACTCCATACCCATGCCACTCTCAGATGGCTCCTCCATCCCTGAGGGGCCTGCATCACTACTGCTCTCCACCTCATTCTCCTCTGAATCCATTTCTAACTATGAAAACAAAATTGATCTGAAATGAAAAATGTAAGCAAATTTTATGTAATTAATCTGACATGTATTTATATCGAAAATTCAATCAGTAGCATGACAAGAACCCCCAAAATTAACATCAGGAAGATTAAAAACAAACAGTGATGGAAGAGCCTTACCGAGCCCATCAAGTGTTTGGGATGACATAAAGAGACCATACAGCTCCAGCTTGTCTACACCAAACATCTGTTTAGTTTTCTAACATGTTTTGAACAAACTCCATGCCAAGTTATCTACTACAACAATTGGATTAATGCTATGTGAAGGTCTGAGACGTTTACACCACAGATTGTGATTTAATCTGGTCATTTATTTACTTTTTTGTTTCAATACAGTCATTATAGGGGAATTCTACCACTGAAGAATTATTTGCACGTGCACTTCTACTTGACCAGTTAAGAGTCTTACTAGAGAGTTACTTAAAATAAATAAAAATCTGTGCAGACGCACCTTAACTTGATTGGTTTAAGTTACCTATGAACAAAGGGAACACCTGGATCTAAAAAAACAAACAACAAAAAGGAGTATTTACATTGATAGTGGAGGGTTCTTCGATAATTCACCAGTAGTGATTTTTAAAAACACAGGAACAATTGTAGATGCTGTCCAGCTTTTTGTGTCTCCACATGTTGACTGAGAGGACACTGAAGGTTGCAAGAAATAACGATTTTGGAAACCACGTTAAACCAAAACACATTACTGGTGTTTCTGACAGGGAATGATAATAACTTATCTAACCCAAACGGAAAGCGTTAGCTTTTAGCTTAGCTAACAGCTTATGTCACCGCCGTGTCTACGGGGCTATGAACACACATAAAGCATCGGGGCATGATACCTATGATTACATTTATTAAAAGAAGTGTTATAATTAAATCCATCGCACTCATATCCGTATACGCAACAAACGAAAGTGAGCCAAGAAGAACGAACGCTGGCCGTTTTATAGGGGCCTAGCTGCCCTGTACCCTGCCTGCTTCGCGTCGCCATTTTAACGCCAAGTAGCATTATTCCACTCAGGCATCCTGAGAGCTCTACTGGGGACCTCGAGGGCCTCAACTGCAGCAGACCGCCCAAATACGCTCCCTGAAGAAAATGAGAACGTTTCCCTTTTCGTAGCGGCAGTCGTCTTGTTTTCCTTACCTTGTAATTTAGCGTGGAAACGTATACTCCAGCGCTGTAGGGCTAAAGCGTACAAAAATTACTAACTGATAATTGTTGCCTCATTCTAGTCGGGCGCCATAAGTATCTCTTTGCTTCCTGTCTGTACTACCGGATCTTGATTATTGTTTTTGTTCTAATAGCAAAGCGGGATGTCTCAACAACATTGAGTCATGATAATAATTTAAACTGTAAACGTTGCTTTTAATTTGTACGTCATGTTCATTACATATAACTGGCATTTTCGATCTTTGTTAACGCCAAGCGGACTATTGTTTCTAGAGGAGGGCGTATTACGCACCCGAAAGCGGAGGAATATGACATCTTTCAACTGCCCATTTGAAACCAAGTATTTTCATGTAGTGCTCAAATATCTTGTCTTCTTAATATTTGTATTGTACTTGATGTTGAAGAGGCTATTTTTCAGTTTGCTGTATAAGCCACGGAATTATAAAATTTGTGAAAAAATGTATATGCTTTCATAGATTCTCTCCCCAATAGGTTTGCGGTTTAACCAAGAGACACAGTGGGCAGTAAATTAATGTTACATTGACTAAACGTCATCATGCTGACGTTGACAGCTGTTTTAGTACAAAAACAAAACAATACAACATGTAAATAGAAAAGTAGAAACCTTTTTGTGCTTTTTTATTTTTTAGTATTACTTGCGGGAGACCAGGGAAGCATGCAGTAAGCTTAGAATCGTCCTTCATTCGTCCCATGATGGCGACATTTACACATTAATTTAATGATCTAGAAATTTGTGTTTTGTTTTTCAGTTCAATATCATAACTCGTTTATACACTGTTTCAGCACCGGTATAGGTCACAATAGAATAACTAATAATTCTTGGCCATCATTCTAGGATTCCTGTACCTTAAAATATAAGTTATGGTTAATTAACACATTACATTAGCCTTGTGCAGTTATCCTTAATATAAGGATATAAGGCCTTCAAAATAGAAGACTGAGAAAGAAATGTTTAATAATAAAACAAAAATCTGCAAGCAATACTGAACAAAGGCTTTACCTGAAACAGGCTCAAACCATGGTTGATTCAATTTTTTTTATTGCAATGACAAGTTATACAAATCCCAAAACACATCAGTTGTATAAATAATTTCAGACAAGGAAACATGCATCGTCTTCCAGTGCAAGTATTTGGTTTTGAACCCTCTTTGAAGTATACACAAATATAATTATACAAAACAAAAAAAGCTTTATGTAAAACAAAAATATTAAATGTTGCTATTACCAAAATAATCTAATACTGTCAAGAGTCTGATCCTGTCAGACATAAAGACTCAGAGTCAGATCTCATCCAGACAAATTTGGACAAGGGAAAAGTTATATTTAAAGTTCTTCATAATTTAGACTACTATTCCATCATAATATAATAATTCACAGATTATTAGACTGATTACAAATCAGTGTCAAAGACCATAACGACCTTTCCAGTATTTGGTCTTTGACCTTTTAAAGGCCACTTCTATAGAACTAATTATTTACATCCCAAAGTACATTAAGGAATCGGTGCAACAAACATATGCAACATCACATTCTTTCTCAAATACTGCTCTTAGCAAATTTCTGTCTGTTGATCTCAGTAGTAATAGGTGGGAGAATCTGAGCAGTTAAGGAGGTCGTACTTGACATAGCCAACACGGTCCACCTGCTTGCGGGAATTCATACGCCAGTAGAAGCTGTCCCGGCAGAAGTACGTGTTGCCTTAAAGATAAAAGTAATATTGATGAGAACCCAAACATATTTTCCCTTTTGAAGTATTTATCCACTGCACAATTAGTGGTTTGGATTTTTTTAAAAACTGAGTTACAGCATATTTTTATAGAAGTACTTACCTTTGTATTGGAAGACATCATGTGCATCACTGGGGACGCCACCGAAGACCATATCAGTGTATTTCGGGAATCCTTTGTCAATTTGCTGGGCTTTGACATCAAGCCTGTGTTGATTAGATACGAACACAAACAGAAAAGGTAATTTACCCAATGAACTCACTTGATAAAGGTTGTAAAATGTTTATCTTGGGAACGGTTTTATTGGGGAAAAGCCACAATGAATTTTGGTTTTAAGCCCCAATAAAAGCAGCAACCGTAGCAGCAAAAATGTTTTTCATAAGGATTACTAAGGTTAAATTTGTCAAACTCACCTCCAGAAGTTCTCTCCACTGAAGAGAAAAACTTTGTCCTTTCCTTTCTGCATGGCTCCTTCTACCTTCTCAACAGTACTGGGAAGGCCCAGTTTCTCAATATTACGGGGCCCTAGAACACTTTCCCCATTATACACCCAGAATCTGGTCCCTAAATGAATTTGAAAGTAAAACAATTTTAGGAAAAGCTGTTCTTCTGTGTTTTCTTTATGTATCTGGGTGTACATTTTTACTTCATGAATGGTGCTTACCTGAGAAGAAGTACAGTTTTTTGCTCTTGTCCTCAAAAGCAGAATCAATGACTGTGGGCAGAGCTGGCCACCTCTCAGAAACAGCAAAAGGTCCACTGAGTTCATTCTTGCTGGACATCTTCCAGTAAAATCTGTGTTTCATAACATTACATTTGAAACTTAGCACTGTTATTGTCCTCTTTACTTTAATTATACACTAGTAAAGAATATGTTTACTCACCCATCCTTAAAGAAATGTAAATCTCCTTCAATCACAGTGATGGTATCAAATTTCGTAAACTTGCAAATCTCATTGGTTGGAGGAACTGGTCGTGTGGTAGTAGTCGTTGTGGGTTCAGGTTCATTCGTAGGCTCAGTTTTATCAGGGTCTGGGAATGGGTTGGGCTGAGGAGGAGTGGGATCTGGGCCTGTTTTGGGTCCTGTGATATTGACAGTTACATTTTTTAATTTTTTTCAAATTATTTGACAGGTATTTTTGTAGTAAATCTGTTGTGACCCTTACCATAGAGATACTGAATGCCCTCAATATCATCTCTGTGCAGGGAAAACTCCTCCACGTAGGTGTACATAGGGAACATGAGAGCATCTCTAATGCTGGAGTGTTCCAGGCCAAGAGCATGTCCAAACTCATGAGCTGCCACAAGGAACAGACTGTAACCTGCAACACAGACATTCATGGATTAGATTAATGTACAATATGGTACCACACATATCAACATTACTTCAGCCATTCTTAACGTACCCTTGTCTGGGCAGAAACCCCATTTTTGGTCTGCATCGTAGCTGTCGGTGGTTGCACACCATAACTTGCCATCTTTTCTGCCCACAGTGGTGCAAGAGTCATACTGGTTTCCCTCGAACTCAAAGGGGAAGTGGCAGGGCTCTCCCTCAGAGTTGCCACCAATCACAGCGGACTCTGGTCAAACATAGTCATAACTACAGTCAGAAAAGATGCCACTGTGGCCGCACTCAACATTGTTTATGCGCTGTGGTTTCCGTCACTCACCGCGACTGGGACAGAATCCATATGCCTTGTCATTGTCAAAGTTTTCTGTGGTGGCACACCAGCGGTAACCATCACTGCGGCCCTCTGTGGTACAACTGTCATAATTCTTTCCCATGAAAACAAAGGGGAAGACACACTTAGCTCCGTTTGCATTTCCTCCAAATGTGTACAGGTCTGTGGGGTGAGAATTAAGGACAGCGGTCAGTAAGTGATCCAAGTCAGAAGGTAACACCAAACTGATGTTTCCAGGTAAACACACTCAAACCTACATTCACTTGGGCAAAAGCCATATGTTTGGTCCTTGCTGTAATCGGCGGTGGTGGCACACCACGGCAGGTTGTCAGTACGTCCATCAGTGGTGCAGGTGGTGTAAGATTTGCCCTCAAAAACGAAAGGGAAGTGGCACAAGGCACCGTTTGCATTTCCATAGAGAGTCTTCACGACTGGGGATGACAAAAAGAAAGGTGATGCAAGTGCGTAACCATAACAGCAGGGGGAGACAACAACACAAGAATTCCCGAAGTTGTATCTTTTTGACGTGTACAGTTCACCTACCTACTCCATTACCCAGGGTCCAGTACTCATCATCATCAAAGTGAGCGTCTCCCTGCACACCCTCACCAGGGGGATAAGCATGGGCCAGCAGATTATCCATACCATCAAATGGGTATGGGTCTCCATGGTCTAATAAATATTTAAAATACACAAAAGTCTTATATTAAGTTTAAAAACTACACATTACATTTACAGATATCAATAACATATGAAAGACTTTAAAAAAGGTGCAGTGCAATAACATACCCCTTTTTCCAAATGATATCATAATGTCAGCTGTCCCCTCAAAAAGGCGAGTAAAGGTCAGAGGGGTCACATCACTCCACACTTTGAAGGCTCTGGCAAAGGCATCGTCAATCAAAGAGCTCTCCATGTCTGGAGAATAATTTAAAGTCCTGCAAATACAAAGCAAATTAACAATGCTTATACACATTGTATTTAACTAACAACGAAGCTTTTGGATTCAATGTCTGAATGTTGTCCTCACACATTGGATGGTTTTCTCTGTATTTACCTATAAGTGATGTTTTTGTGGTCCCATTTGATGTCTCCTTCAAACGTCTGGTAGTTTGCCACATCCGGAACCCCACAGCGAGGCTGTTTCATGGTGTCCACTGTGGCTTTGTCCAGCTCTCCGGTCTCCTCCAGTCCCATCTGTCTCTGCATCCTTTTCAGAGCATTGGTTTTGGACAACAAGGACTGAAATCCACTGCGGTGCACAGTTTCTATGTAACCGAACTTCTTCAAATAACTCTGAAAAAAGGCAAAGCAAACCACATCAGCAGGTTTAGACAGAATATCACTATTATCTATTACAACCACAGCCTTAAACTAACAACGTAACCTTTAAAAATCAGTTTATGAACTTTTCTCCTCTACTCATGCAGCTGACTTAGATGAAGATGTTTGCTTTAATAAAAATAAATAGTTATTTCTTAGCGTCACTGCACAGCTTTGATGGCAATCTGTTTCCGTGATTTTTCAGCACAAATATCCATCTGCTACTCACATCTGCCAGCTCTGTTTCACTCATGTCCTTCGTGACGTCTCCTGGGAAGGTGACGAAAACGGACTTGAGAGGATGGCTCCATGCCGGCTGCATGCCTATCCCCAGAGCTAAACAAACGACTATAGCACAGCACCTCATGATGAGAACTGCTGGAAAAAACACAGTTGACAAAAAAACAGTAACGT